CGAGAGCGCGGGGAGAGCGGCCACTGGAGGGGCCAGGCGGGCAGGGCCCTGGGGCGGAGGGAGGGAGCCCGCGCAGACTGGCATCTAGTTTGGAAAAATTACTATCCTAGCAATATTGAGTCTTTAACCCCTAAATGTATATCTCCCCATTACCCAAATATATTTGATTTATATGAAAAATATTATATAGTTTTTCCAGTGTAAAAGTATTTCATATTTTTGACATTTGACCCCAACTTTTAATACCTTTATGGTGTTTACATTTTTTGTTTCAAATTTTTCATTTGTTACTAGAAATACAATTGATTTTTTATATATTCACTGTGTCCTCAATTCTTCCTAATTTCTTGTTAAGTACCTTTATTCCTAGACAATATGTTTTCTATATACATGATTATGTTGTCTACAAATAAGAAGAATCTGCCTTCTTCCTTATCAATCAATCAGAATGAATTTTATTTCTTTTTCTCCTCCTATTTTCTTTTTTGCCAATGAACTGTGTAGTACATGAATGTCCCACTCTTTGGCTTGCCTGGGCCACATTGAGAAGAACAATTGTCTTAGGCCACATATAAAATATATAATACAATTAAAATATACATTTTAAAGTATTTTTATTATAACACCTTTTAAAAAATAAGGGAAGAATTAACTGTTTGAAAAAGCTTTATATACAGATATATGTATTATTAAATTTGGAGCCATAGTCAGAGGACTCAGATCATGACTTAATTTTCTATTTGGAAATTTAAATAAAATTTTAATAAAATTTAAATTAGAAATCAATTTCTAAAGGCTTAATTTTCTATTTCCTTAACTATTGCAATAATTTTGATTTGAAAAATAAATTTATTTTTTAACAGTCAAAAATTCTTGCTGTTTTAGCCTGTGGACTTTAAAATGATTGTGTTGCTTTTAGGATACTAAAAAAAAGAAAGCTCTAGAAATTGAAAGCATGGTGCAGCAAGATCAGAGTAATACAATTAACAAAGAAAGTGCTACAGCCGCTTTATGATGATAGTTTCCTAAATGCAGAGACATTTGGCTACATCCACATAAACATTTCCATTTTTTTAATGAAAACTCGTTTCTTTGGTGATATTCATAAAAGAAATGATTTTTGTTCCTCTTACCTGATTCTATAGTTATAAGATGTATCTTGGGTATTGGTACCATGTAACAAACAATGAATTTTAATTAGCGTTTAAAAAAAATAAGGCAACATAAACATAAAATTAGGATATTTGACCTTGTTTTGTGCAACTAATGCATCAGTGTCTGGTTTGGTGGAAGTAGTTGCACTTAGTATGTTCTCAAGATGCTCATCAGAAAATTTGATCTAATTTTACTCTTGCTGTGCTTCATACTTGAAAATGGGTAATCATAAATGTACATACTGCCAAAAAGCAATGACATGAATGAGGCATGATTGTGAATTGAGGAATACATTTTCTCTGGGAAGATAAGTATTAACTTAATAAATTATTTCATGAAATAACACAAGCCTATGTTTAATCACTAAATAATACATCTTATATGTCTTCTTAGTGACAATAAATGCCCATCTTCACACCCACACGTGTGTAGGTAGATTGATATACTATTATTGATAATCACTGCATTTTACTTGCCTAGTTGCACAAATGCATGTAATGTCTAATAGTCAGGGTTTCCATTCTACTGTCTGTGTGAGATGGTACAGCATTCTGTTGTTACTTACCACACAGTTCTCACTGGAGGACCATGCAATCAAGTCATGAAAAATATCACTAAAAAACACATAATAATATTAAAAGATTAGGATCTTATGGGGCCTCATTACTAGCCATTCAGGCTGTGTGTTGGACAGGCCTGGCCTTGAACCTCTAGTACTATATTTCATTGAAGTTTTCAGAGAGGGTATGCTTGTTCTTGATATAAGGATGGAAAACGTTCTGGCATTCATTTTTAAGTATGATATTAGCTGTATGTATTTTTAAGTTTCTTTTTTATTAGTATATGTTTGTGATACATAATAATTACATTTATTTTTGGGAATTGGTATCTATACATATCACACCTTAATCATTTTTTACTTTCCCTTTCCCTCTCTGCCCTCCTGTTTTTCCCATCCCCAAGTCCCCATCCATCTCCACAACATCTACCTCCCTGTTTCAAATAGTCTTTTATTTTAGTCTTTATTAATATTGTGGGGTTCTCATATAAGAGAAACCAAATGTGGCTTAACCGTCTGTGTCTGATTTATTTCACTTAATATTGTGGTCTCATTGCATCCTTTTTCCTACAAATAACTCAAATTTATCACTTTTGTAAATGTCCTTGTTATCCACTGGGGGTCTTGGGTAGTTGTTTCCAAGTTCTTGGTGTCCCATACAAAGGTTGAGCAGGACACACAGAAAGAATAGCAACAGTATGATTTGTTTAAAAGGAGTAACAAGAGTAAGAGAAAGAAGTGAAGGTGCACTCAACAAGGTGGGAGTGGGAAGAATTCATGACCAGATAGGGGCAAGCACTTGGTCTTTTAGAATCCTGGGATTATGGGAGGGTGTATAGCTGGGGATTGAAAAGAGTCATGGCCCAAAGGGGTACCTGACTGGGCCCACCTATCAGAAGGGGAAGTTTTTAACCATGCATGGTTTTTACAGAAAGTGTCCTGGTGCCCAAAGCCCACGGAGGGGTTACAAACTGCAGTGCAGATGAGGTTAGACACAGACCAGGTTCTGTACTTTTGGATATACTCATGCTTGAGTGTCTTTCGGGGGGGTGACCTTTATCTATTGATTTTCTGATATTTTGACATACTTGTCTTTTCTCTGTGTGGTTTCTTGATTCTTGTCCCACAGGTTTCTGTTACTAACTTCTCCTTGCTGGGCTTCCTGCCTCAACCTCAGTCAGATTTTGGCATTGTCTTCTTAATTTGATGAGAGTTTTTATTAGGAACCATATGACAGAAAAATCCATTTTAGGCATTTACCCTAGAAAAATAAAAACATGCACACAAAAATATGTACATGAAGGTTTACAGCTGATTATTTATGTAACTGCCGAATCTAAAACATGGCCAAGGCCAATAACAGGTGGATGGGTTGCCATTGTGGTATATCCATACTATGGCAGCCACTAAGGTCATCCCAAGCCTCTGGTCATGCCTTTGAGTGTGGGTAGAGCCCGTGATTTGTTTCTAATCAATAAGATATGACAATGGTGATGAGATGTCACTTTCATGATTATATTACATTGTATGTTACTCTGTCCTGTTGGCCAAGGTGTAAGCCACAGTGGTGTGAACTGCCTATGCTCAGGGCAACGTGACAAAATCACCATCAGCTTTTATAACAAATGAAGAAATTCTTAATTAACATTTAACCCTACATATATATTTTTTAACTTTGAAGAGTTTTATTACAAAAAAGTATGTACTCGTTACCTTGACAGACACCTGGGGCAGGGAAGAGAGGGGGGAAGGGTCTGCAGGGCTAGAAGCAACACCCAGGTATAAACACTAGGTAAATGCAATAACCAGTGCTGTACATCTACAAATCTTCTCTCCAATACTTGACTTCTGTGTTAATCTTGTTTAAGCATGCTTTCAAAGACATGCACTGTCAGAACAAAAACTACAAAAGAACCTGAATGTGTGATATTCAGCCTTTCATTTCATGCTTTAGTAAACCTATTAAGCTGGAAAAAGAAATTAAAATATATTTTCTGTGTTTATAGACTCAACACATGCATCTGGGGATTAAACCGCCATATATTAACAGCTCATGGTGCACTACTGAGAATGTTACTCTGTACATAATATGTTTACTAGTATTGGGGGCTTTCTTATTAATTCTGAAAAACAACCACATCTGCCGCCAGGTAGCTAATACTTCTCATGCATCAGCACAGAAAGTAAAATATGTCTACAGAATTTTATTCAACTGGCATCCGTAGCCAAGGGTCCCAGAAGAAATACATAAGACTCAAGATGAGTGGTGAGAAGCAAGAGGGCTAATCAATTTACGCAGAACATCCACTTCCAGCTCCTAACAGTTTTAAGGCTCCTCCCACACCGTACACTCTCCAGCGCTTGCCCGGGGAAAACTTGGCTCCGCCTCCCGATGCCAATCAAGCCTTCTCCCTGGTGTTAGGCCCACTCCCACATTCTCCCCTACCCGCTAGTCCTGGCGATGCTACTGCGCACTAGCGACTACATAGTATTGTGGGCGGGGCCTGTGGGGGGTGTCACAGAATCCTGCCTGACTCCGCCCACCCAAGGCTGGGCCCACCTCCGCAGATGAGCACTTCCTGTGACAGCTCCCTGCAGACCTCTGCAGAAGCTTGTAGAGCACAGCCTAGCACACAAGTCCAGTACACCAGGCGAACCAGGCGCGATGGATAGTCGGATGCAGCTGACAAAGGCTCTCTTGGCCCTCCCGGTCAGGACCGCCTGGCGCAGCTGGAGGAACCCGATTCCTTTTCCCGAGATGTTTGACGGGAATACCGACAAACTCCCCGAGTTCATCGTGCAGACCGGCTCCTACATGTTCGTGGACGACAAGACGTTCTCCAGCGACGCCCTGAAGGTGACGTTCCTCATCACCCGCCTCACGGGCCCGGCTCTGCAGTGGGTGATGCCCTACATCGAAAAGGACAGCCCCCTCCTCAGCGACTACCGGGGCTTCCTGGCCGAGATGAAGCGGGTCTTCGGATGGGAGGAGGACGAGGACTTCTAGGCTGTGAGACCTTTGGGCCTGGGGCTGGTGCTTGGGGAGGGTCGGCTGTGCCAGTCTGCGCGGGCGCCCTTCCCCCCCCCCCACCGCCCTACCTCCCTACCGCCCTACCGCGCTCCCCCCTCCTCCTCCGGCCCCCGCGAGTCCCCGCGTTCTCGAGTTCTCGCCCCCTCCCGCTCGTGCGTCATCCTTGCCTTTGTTCCAGGAATAGCGCTCCAGGCTTCCTGAGCCTCGCTCTGGAGCCCGCCGCCTCCGCCCTCTGCTGCCAACCGGCCCCTCCCACGCCCTCTGGACGCTGTCCTCTGCTCCAGCCTCAGGATGGTCATCTGTTATGAAGAACTGGACAGCCCACCCACACCCGACATAGCCCTGACTGCACCCCTCTGCCCACACCCTATGCTGCCCTGCCATCACCCTCCACCGCACCCACCCACGCACAGCTGCCCTTGCCATCTGGACTCAGCTCTGAGGTGCCTGAGCTGACCACAGCCCGTGGACACAGATTCAGAGGGCTGGTCGTCCCTCTGCAGGGCCACACCAGCCTCACTTCAGCAGGTCCCATTCCCTCCCCTCTCTGAGACCTCTTTGTGTTCCTGGCAGCCAGATTCAGTCATTCCTTTTCTCCTGAGGGCCAGTTAGTTTCCCCAGTGTGCTGTTCTCTTCTGAACTTGCAGCTCTCTCTGAGGTGTGTGCCTTTGTTTCAACACACTAACCCCTGTGATCTTTCCAGCTCTTCTACACTACCTGTACAAAAGTCTTTTCCTTGCTTTCAATAAATGTCAGACACTATTTAAAAAGAAAAAAAATTGAGTCTTAATTCATGTGACACCTTTCCCTTCCTGGTTTTGAAATGGGGTCCATTTCTTACTAAAAGCTGTATGTCCTGCCATTCTGTATCTGATATTGACATCTAGGAGTCTTTTGGTGTTTGGGGAATGGGGACCACAATGGTGACCATTTACTTTTAGATGATCTTGTAAACGGATTGAGATCATTTTCTACCTCTTAGCAAATGGGATTTGAGGATTTGGGGTTTTTGGACCAAGGCAATGTGAGAAATTATCTAGGAGGCTTCTTGGAAAAGGATTCCTCATTTTCAAAAACTCATCTGGAAGCACAACTTCCAGGTTGCTGTAAACTGTGAATGTGGTACAAATTGTCATTGCACAGCTGTCAAAATTTTATCTAATCCATTACTGAGTGAACCAACAGGATGATCTAGGTGCTTTGGAAAAGCATCTATAGTTTTTTGAGTATGTAGGTATGGGAGTAATTGCAAAAATGAGATTGTGCATTTCTCCTTATGGGTTAATACTATTTTAATCTCAAATTTATAGTGCTGTAAAAAGCCTTTATTCTCTCACCAATTATTTGAAAAAAATTAAAATCTTGTATCAAATGATGCACTGATGGGTTCATAGGACAATGTTTTGGTGTGATATTAAAAGTTGTGCAACTAACTTTTTGCCCGATTTCTCAATTTAAGAGATTTTCCAGAGCATTGGATAGAGGAGTGAATCATGTAGGGAACAGGAAAGGGGACGTTACCAGGACCTCTTCCGTAGGTCCTGGCCTGTGAGCCACCACAGCACAAGGCAAGTTCAAGAACAGACAGAAAAGAGACTTAGATTGAACGAGGCTGGGTCTTGGGACCTGGTCATTGCTGCTGATGCCAGCAAAGACGAAGGCCCCCAAGAGCATCCAGTATTTATTGAATACAATAGTGAGAAGGAAATAGGAAGCTAGGGAGCTTAGATGGTATCTAGTGAAATACTGCCAAACGCCTGGCATGATAGCACCAGGCAAGGCTGTCAGGAAGTAAGCACTGCTTATCTTGCTTAAATAGAACAAACCGGTGTGGGACTGGGTACAATTAGCAAGTAACCCATGACACCTTGTTTTGCCTCCCTGAGAGTTTCACATTTTCAGGGAGGATTTCAATGTGTAAAATATATTATGCTTTTATCTGCCCTCCCTATTACTCACCCTTCCATCTTTCTCATAAGGGCATTAATCCTATCCTGGGGCCTCTGCCCTCATTATATTATCTAAAGCTAATTATTTCTCATGGGCCACATCATCATATTGGAGATTAGGACTTCACAATAAATTCGGGGGTGGAGGAAACAATCTCTAGCAATAAATTTGCAGTAACAAGTTTTACAGTTATTATTCTTGGTTTATTTCCTTTACTTCATTCTTGGTAATTTTTTCTACACCCTACACCAGAAAGCCAAACCTCTGAAGTAAATATCAAAGCCAAGAGAAACAAAGACTCATAAAAAATATGAAAGAGAAAATGCAATTCATCTTTTTGCATGGTTGGGGCTAATATTGAACTATAATCAATATAAAGTTATACAAACTTTGTGAATACATACACAAAAATTTAAATATGGGAAATACACACCAGAAGGGACAATGTGGCCTTTGATTAGCTTACTGACCTGAAACCTGGGGTTCTACAGCAATCCCAGCAGAGAGAACTCGTGTAATAAGAGGTTTAAAGATACAAGTCTCAAATTGTTATGAATCATATGGTTTAGATCAAGAATGTCCACCTAATGAGATATGTACAAATGTCACTTTGCAAATAGACAAGTATATTGATACAATAAATCCTCAAAAATAGGAAAAAAACCGAATGTCCCCCAAAGTTCTCATTCATTCACAGACAAAGCTAATGGAAGGTGATTGGATCATGGAGTGCTGTACTCATCAATGGAATCATCCATGGTGAGTTCAGCAACTGAGTGTGCTCTTGGAAGGTGGGGCCTGGAAGGAAGAGCTGGATCATTGGGGGCACGACCTACAAGGGTACATCTCATTTCTCAGTACCTCAATTCTCTCTGCTTCCTGGCCACCATGACAAGAGCAGCTTTTGTCTGCCAAGGCCCATCCACCATGCCCTTTCTTTGTTTAAACCTGCCAGATATGGACTGAAACTTCTAAAATGTGAGCAAAAATAAACCTCTCCTCCCTTAAGTTGTGGGTGTTTGGTATTGTGTCCCAGCAATGGTGTCTCACTATGTTGTTCAGCATGGCCTTGAACTCTTGTGCTCAAATGATCTTCCAGCCTTAGCTTATTGAGTAGCTACGTATATTAGTCAGCTGTTCCATTTTGGGGACAAAATATCTGATATACAGCTCAAAGGAGAAAAGTTATTTTAGTTATAGTTTCAGAGGGTTCAGTCCATGGTTTGCTCCAAAGCAGAAATATGGCCAAAAGGCATGGCAGAAGATAGCAGGCTAACTCATGGCAGCCTAGAAGCAGAAAGGGAAGAGAGAGGAGCCAGAGATAAGAATACACTCTTTCAGTTCAAGCCCCCAGTGACCTACTTCTTCCAACCAAGCCTCAACTCCAAACTGGACAGTCAGCTATGAACTCATCAATGGACTAACCAGTTATCTCACATTACAAAAGCCCCACTTCTGGATATATGAGCCTTTGGAAGGACATTTAAAAAATCTTAACCAGAACACTGGAACTATAGGAGTACACCACCATGCCTGGCTCAACATCATAATTTTTTATAGTTTGTGGGTGACATCTCTGCTTACTTTCTCATCACTGAGAGACACAATACCTAATAAACTACAAATTAAAGGAAGAGAGGTCTACTACGGCTTACAATTTGTAGAGGTTTCAGTTCATAGTCAGTTGATGCCAAGGCAGGGCAGCATCCCAGATGGGCATGGTAGAGGAGAAACAGTTTTTGGCAAGGTGATGGGAAATAGAGAGAAATCAAGGGAGCAGGGAAGGAGATAAATCCTTCAAGGGCATACTCCCAGTGACCCACCCCTCCAACTAGGCTTCACCTCCCAATATCACAATTAGCTATAAATTCATCAGTTATCTGTTTCTTCTCTGTAAGAAACTTTTTGTCTCTGAGTTTATACTTTGAAGATAATGATACACAGTGTATTAACTATTGTTATTCTCTTATTATTTTGTTGTGAAATTTTGTTTTATTTTTTCATAAAATAAAAAATAAATTTATCAGTGGACTAATCTACTGATGAGTAACATGCACGCATGATTCAGTCACCTCCCCCATACTCCATGAAGTGCATGAAGCTTTAGGGGGACATCTAGATATAAATCATAACAATCTCTCAATGCTTTATCCAACTCATTATTCAGGGAATCAGCAGAATGATAGCTAATTCTGGAAGCACTTAAAGATCTGTGGGGGGTGGAATGTAGCAATTCTATTTTTAATTCAGGTACAAACCTGATAGATGTCTAGAATAATATAATTCCTTACTATATTTGTACAAATTAACCTCTCAGATCTATGATGCTGTATTGAAAAGTCTTCTCCCTAATCAGGTATTGATCAAAGTTAAATATTCTGATGACACTCAGGTAGGATTATAATGTAAGTGCATGACTGTAATCCCAGCACTGAGTGAGGCAGAGGCAGGAGGATGCTAAATTTGAGTTTCCCAAGGATAATTTAGTGAAACTCTGTCTCAAAATAAAAAAATAAAGATAAAAAAGAGCTAAAGATGTAACTCAGTGGTAGAATACCCCTGGGTTTGATCCTCAGTACAGAGAGAGAAATAGAGAATCTTCCCTGATAATAAATGGTCATACACTCAACTTTTTGCCCCACATCCATGTTTGGATAATTTTTTCACAAAAGGAAAAGGATTTATACATATCACACTGGCATATCTTTACTTTTTTTATTTGTTTGACAGGTAAGTGTTGCTATCCATGAATTCTTTGGCTTGTGGTTTGGTAGACTATACATAAAGCTAGAGCTATATTATGGGGACAAAGACTATGAAACCTCATTAATTCAGAAGTTTTCGTATATTAATAAAGTTCTGTGGAAGCTAATTGAAAAATTTGAAGTATTTGAAAAAAAAGTCTTTTCTTATTTTCACACCACTTACTGATTTCTTAAGACAGTTAAACCTGGCTTAATAGAGGGCCCAATTTAATTTCTGAGAATCTGTTTTCCTTGGTGATAAAGGATAGTTGGATCAAGCCAACATCCCAGTGATAGGAGCCTTACTTCATTGTCTAGTAAGTCTTCTCAAGCCTAACATGAGTAGCCATTGTCTTACTTGTGGCTGGATCAACAAGCAGGTGCCCACCACGGCCCCTAAGTGGAGGCTGGAATAATCTTTTCTTCCTCATACAGACCCTCTGTACCATTTCCTCTGCTCAGGGCAGAGTGGGCCCCTTAGTGGTCATGGTAAGGAGACCTTCCTGTTCTCTTTTCAATGGAGTTAGGACTTGGGCCTAATCAGTATCTGATCATAAATGTGTCTTCATCATAGAAATCTCAGGATATATTGAATAATACTAAATACATAAGGAATAGCAATCATGATAACCAATTAAACATGTTACACGTGTGATTGTACATAACTGTGGAGCCAGCCACTTTCAGTTATTTGATATTACAAAGTGTAACTTACATCAGTACAGTATTTGAGAAAACCTGATTTTAGTGCCTATATAATATGAATGTACCATAATGTTTTAATAATTGTTTCTTATGATATATGACATTCCAAGTTAATTTATTTTTTTAAGCAACAAATTTGATTACTTTTAACATAAATTTTCTTGTCTTTGTGGTTATTTCTTTAGGTTACGGTCCTAAAGATAGAGTTATTATATAAAAGATATGAACATTTTAGGACTGAAAACAAGCAGGACATGGTGGTTCGCTCCTGTAACCCCAGGTGTACAGGAGACTGAAGCAGGAGGCTCACAGATTTGAGGCAAGCCTGGAAAACATAGTAAGACTCTGGGTTCAATCCCCAGTGCAGCAATAAGCACACA